TATAATGATATGATGTCTGCAAAGCACAAAAGAAGCATAACTTCCAATTTAGAATCCAATATCCAGAGAAAATATACTTCAAGAATGAGGGAGAAAGAAGGCCATAATCAGACAAAGAGAAACTGAGCAAACTCATCACCATTAGAACTCTGAAAAGCAATACTAAAATAGAGTTTCCTGGCAAAATGAAAGTGATCCCACTTGGAAGCTCAAAGACACAAAGCATAACAATGAGCAAAAGAAATGGTAAATTTGTGGTAAATTTAAATGAATACTGACTGTGCGTGTGTGCGTGCTAAGTCACGTCAGTTGTGTCTGACTCTTTGTGACCTTGTGGACTATAGCCCGCCAGACTCCTCTGTCCATGGGATTCTCCAGGCAAGAGTACTGGAGTGGGTTGCCATTTCCTCCTCCAGGGGATATCTGCTCTTCAGCAAAAATAACAGGAAAATACCCATCTGGAAATTAAGAAGCACACTTCTAAATAACTCAAAGATCAAAAAACAAATCACAACAGAAAGTAGATAATATTTCAAATGAAATAAAAATGAAAGTGCTACATATGCAAACTTGTGAGATACAGCAAAAATAGTCATTTGTAAAGAAAAAAATTCAAAGGTTAAATGTACATATTAGAAAAGAAGGAAGACTGAGATCAATTAGCTGAGCACTTATCTAAAAAGACTAAAGAAAAGAGAAAATTAAACCCACTGAAAATAAGAAAGATGGAAAAATAATAATAAAAGTATAAATTAACTAAACAGTAAATAAGCATGCCATAAAAAGGAGACAAAAGCCAGGTTGGTTCTTGAAAAAAAAAATACTAAAATTGATAAAATTCCTGGTAAGACATACTGAGAAAAAGTCAGAAAAGTTACAAACAACTGATACCAAGAATGAAAAAAGGAGAAAATTAAAATACCATGAAATAATAGAAAAGACTACAAAAAAGAATGTATATGTTTGTATAACTGAGTCACTTTGCTAACAGCAGAGATGGGCACAACATTTTAAATCAACTATGCTTCAATAGCTTCCCTGGTGGCTCAGATAGTAAAGCATCTGTCTGCAATGCGGGAGATCTGGGTTTGATCCCTGGGTTGGGAAGATCCGCTGGAGAAGGAAATGGCAACCTACTCCTGTACTCTTGTCTGGAAAATCCCATGGATGTAGGAGCCTGGTAGGCTGAAGTCCATGGGGTTGCAAAGAGTCGGACACAACTAAACGACTTCTCTTTCATCTTTCTGGAGATACTTCAATAAAAATGCTTCTATATAAAAAAATTTTAAAAGCTCATGAGAAATATTAAAGCCAACTTTTGTTAATACATATTAAAATTTACATAAAATTCTCAATTTCCTGATGAATGCAATTTATCAAAATGTATGTTAAAAAGAATAGTTAAGTCTCAATAATTATATAACTATTAAAGAAATTAAATCAGTAATTAAAATTTTTCCCAGAAAGAAGCCCAGACTCAGGTATTGTCAGTAAATTTTACCAAATATTTAAGGAAGAAATAATATTAACCTAACACAAAATCTTCCAGAACAAAAAAAAGAACTCTCCCTATGCCTTCCCTTGTGGCTCAGCTGGTAAAGAATCCACCTGCAATGCAGGAGACCTGGGTTCAATCCCTGGGTTGGGAAGATGCCCTGGAGAAGGAAAAGGCTACCCACTCCAGTATTCTGGCCTAGAGAATTCCATGGACTGTATAGTCCGGGGGGTTGCCGAGAGTCAGACACGATGGGGCGACTTTCACTTTCACTTCGCCCTATGCCAGTTATTAGCCTGTTAGCTTTCACAAGCTTTCTGTGGCCTGAGCATGTACTGCTCTGCATTGCAATGCACTAGATTTCTCAGGTTACCCTGCTAACTGGTTTTCAAATAGGTTTGGTCAATAAGAGGCACTGATGATGATGCCAACCTCTGAGCTCAGGTCTCACCACTTTCTCCATGGTCCCCCCAAACCTGGAGACGGTAGAGATTTCTTACTTTTTTCATGGAGTTGCCTCCCTTGGTTCGTTCATCAGCCGTGTAACAATTTTCTGTACTTAGTCCGTTTTTGTCTTTTCCAGGCTGGCACTGCCTGATACAATTCTTGGTATCACCCCAGGGGATATGCCCTCACAATGAGTTTCTGGAAATAACTTTTGAGCTTAAAATTCAATGAGAACTTCCTTGCAGGTGGAAAAAATGGCATAGTATCAATAGTAATCTATACTAAAATTATCTTTGATATAGCTTGAATGAAATGCCTATCTCAAAGTTTTGGGAAATCACATATCTTAACTATATGATCAGTGTAGGAGTAGTAATGACTATGTCTGTGAAGTAGGATGGTTAATTTTATTTTACCTCTGAAGGAAGAAATTTATTCTTGCCTCTGACTTCTTTCTTTATACTATTATGTACCCAATATAGAATAGTGAATGACAATGAAGCTTGCTTTCAATGTTTCATTATAATAAAAATTTTCAAATGCACAAAAAAGTTTTAAAAATTTTGTTATGAGTGTATGTATACCTACCACGTAGATTCTACAAAATTTATGAAATTCAACAACTTCATCCACTAACAAGATATCATAATATTAAAATGTGCAAGAGACCCAAACAGACTCTTCATAAGAAAAGATAAACGATAAGCATATAAAATAGTGGTTAATCTATTTAGTAAACACAGGAATACAAATTTAAACCACCATTAAGGTACTACAACATGGAGGGAAGGCTTTATGAACAAGTAGATTCTTATTTGCATGGCATTGTATTTGCAAGTCTGAAATAAGTTGAGTGACTCTCTGTCCAAGTTTTTTGTTTCTTTCTAGTTCACAAACAGTAAGCATATGGAAAGCTGAATCCAGCAAGAAGCTGATCACTATTGGAAACAAATTATCTAGAGAATGCATACTTATTTTTGACAGTCTAAATCACATTTAACATATTTATAATATTTTAAAACTATGAAGGGCATTCATATGTGTTTCAGAGGGTTAGAAAATATCGAAAGCATAAATAAGTAAATAAATTATATTTCTGTTAGCAAAAGAAGAGTATTATTGCTATTTTTATATATACTCTCAGTTTTGTGTATGTCTTCATGAACATATAGACGTGTGTATGCCTGCGTGTATGTGTGTCCAAGAGTCTTCCAATCCTGGCTTTATTCTGAATTAGTTTGATATATTGGGACATTTGTTATGTATAGATAATTTGAGTTTTAAAATCAGCATATAGAACTTCTGCTTCTGGCCAAGATGAAGTGGGAACCAGATTTATACACCTACCTGAAACAACTAAAAAATATCTGCATGAAATAGATGAGACAAAACTTGACAAATGATTGGAATTAGGCAACAAAGGATGGTGATTTCTGATTAAAAAACAAATGAGGCGTGTCCTACAACTTACATCCTGGAGAGAGACTGAGTACCATAGTGCACAGTGGGGAGCCTGATTGTCTTCTTGTGTTGAGAAGATGGAGCTGGGAGATCAGGGGGGCCATGGTGGCTAGATAGCTCTCATAGGGTTGGGAACCATTCTTGTTCCCAATGGTCAGAATAGAAAAGCTCCTAATTCATTGTGCATTGCTAAGAGTACTTAGAAGGATTTTACCTTAGAAGTGAAGAAATACTGACCATAGGTTATGAACACTGCTCTCATCTCACCTAACAAAGCTTAAATCAATACCCAAAAGGATCTTTGTTGCTATTGTTGTTCAGTTGCTAAGTCATGTCCAACTGTTTGCTGTTTTCAAATAACTTAACTATGTCCCAGTTAGCTCTTACAGGAACCACTTCAACTGTGTTCTTAAAGGGGATTAAGCTATACAGTTTTAATAGATGGTATTTGGTTCCTCTTACCACTGAAATAAATTACCGACATTATCATGACTTAGCACAAATTTATTTTCTGACAATTTTAGAGGTATAGCAGTTTTGAGAAAAATTCAGAAATATTTATAAAATGTTAAATTATCCTCACTCTTTCCACATTAACCCAACTTCTATATTAGTATGCATGAAAATGAAAGTCGCTCAGTTGTGTCCAACTCTTTGTGACCCCATGGCCTATACAGTCCATGGGATTCTCCAGGCCAGAACACTGGAGTGGATAGCCTTTCCCTTCTCCATGGGATCGAACCCAGGGCTCCTTCACTGCAGGTGGATTCTTTACCAGCTGAGCCACCAGGGAAGCCCAAGAATACTGGAGTGGGTAGCCTATCCCTTCTACAGGGGATCTTCCCAACCCAGGAATCGAACCAAGGTCTCCTGCATTGCAGGTGGTTTCTTTACCAACTGAGCTATGAGGGAAACCCATTAGTATGTATATCTTAAAAGAAAAAGTCCACATTTACTCAAGAATTCTAAGATGTTAATTTCATTTTATTTATCACACAACAAAAGAAAAGCAACTTATGAATGTTTAATTATGATGCATACATACCTCAGCATTCCAAGAGGTAGTTTCAAAAGTGAGGTGGAGCTGTATATGCTGTCATGGGAAGATCCTGCATCTTTTTAATTCGGGGACAAAGGCTAGTGGCACATCAATATGTGCATCATAATCTGTATGTCAAATCAAATCAATATATTTTATAGGATAGAAAATGCATATCTATGAAAAAGCCCATAGTCCGCTTTAAAGCAACTCACACTACATTGTTAATTGTGGTGACCTCTGAGTAGAAGGCTGAATCATGCAAAAAATTTTGTAAAGGGGATTCTGCGATTTTTCTGTAGCTTTAGAAATTTTTGCAATAGGAACATATACACTACTACCATTGAAATTAAAATATTTATATAAACCTAACAACAGAAATAGTAGCTGTGTCTGTCAAAGTTATTGCAACCTGATGAAACAGGCAAATCTTGACGTTTGAAAGACTAACAAAACAGTGTGTTTTTGTGCAGGTAAATTCTCGTGTGGTTTAGCAGGGGCCCTCAGCTCTAGGGGGCCCAGGGATCCAGGCTGCTTCTGTCTTGTGGTTTCAGCACCTCAACAGTGGATCACCATGTTTGCTGGTGAATCGAGGGAGAGAGTGTGGAACCAGCCTCCTGCTTCTCAAGTGCCTCCAGGTGACAGTAAACACCTGCTTGTGTCTCAGTGGCCAAGGGTTGCCACGACCCCTCTTAACTACAAGCAGATTGTCAGCATAGTGTCCCTCGTGTCCAGAAAGGTGAGCAAGACAAGATGTGGATGGGCACTGGAGCCTCTCCCATGTACCGTTACAAAGTAGATGCTCAAGAAAAAACTATTATGATTTGCTGAGATGAAAACCATCTTCAATGCTTGGAGGAGTTTCTGAGGTCACATCTGCCTTGAAATGCTCTGAAATTTTCAAGCATCTACTATGTGACAGATGCTTTCAAATACAGGATCACATCTAATTGTCAAATGGTACTGTAAATCTCAGCAGGGAGACTTCACTTTCTTCATTCAGGGCCCCTTTCTGCACTTTTCTTTGCGACAACCTCTATAATCTCATAAAACTGAAAATGCACTTCTTCCTCTTAATGCAAGCTCATACTTCTAACCCTTTGAGTCTCTGCTCACCCTCCACGTGACTGAACTTGCCTGAGTACCTGGGTAGGTGCCATGAGGCACATTGAAAACTGGGACTTTCCTGAGGGCATGTATTGCAAGAGACAGTGGGAGGATGGGTAATTATTCTATTTTTCATCAGAGCTGACATGTCTTCCAAGGAACCATTCTTAACTCCTAGGAAACTCCAGGGATTTAGGAATTCAGCTTTAGAAGTTTGCTCCACAATGACTTCTGTCATCTTTCCTCATCTACAACTGAGAGAGTCTCTGGATTTTTAGCACTTACATAAATTAGGTATTTGATCAGCAGTGAATTTAAAATAAGACACCTCATGGAAATCCTATTTAAAATACCATGGTGGTTTCAATAACCCTCTATCTTTAGGGTTATATTCCAGGAACCAATAGATGATGTGCCAAATTATACTGCTCTTACCACCCCATTTATAAAACACTTGGAGACTGTGTTAGAGATACCAGGGCTGGTGACCAGGTGTCTTAAAGCAGCTGTCCCCAGGTGAATTTTTACATCAATCGGGCTGTTGATATCATAGGCCTTCTAGGATGAGTCATGGGACAGCCAGAGGACTAATGCTCTATGTTAGGGGAAAGTAGGTGATTCTGGGCTTCCAATGGAGACCAATGACAAGCTGGTTAGCAGGCTAGGTTTGAGAGTTAAGACAGGAGAGCATACAGAGGAAGACCAGGGAAAGGGTGCTATAATTTGGGAAAGTTCTGGGTCTGAAAAAAAATGCTAGGACCCAGGCAGAGTCAGTTCTCAAGGAACTCTGGGACTCAAGTGGGTGGACCCCAGGTTAATAAAGCCCACAGACAGTATTCAAATTTCATTTAAATCTCATTTTCATCTTTCTTCTTTAGGCCTGCTTTTAGTACCTTAGACACAACATCCTTGTCACCTCAGAGACATCGTGTAGTAGAGAGAACAGAATCGAATTACAAGTCAGAAGGTCGGCCACGGGCTGGGGTAGGTGGGAACAGCATGGGCTCAAGAGGAATTCAGGCCAGGATCTAGTCCCTATCCTGTCTCCTAGTAACACGTGATGCTGGGAAGATGCCCAAGTCCCATGGTGTTGGCTTCTTCACCTGTGAAGCAAGTGAGCTCAATGAGCTCTGTTTTGTAGGGCTTCAGGGATGTGGGCAGTGTATGTAAAGCATCTCACACAGTGCCTGTCATATATTGGAACTTTGATGACTGGCAGTCACTTCTAGTATTATTTTACCCACAAACCATACTACCCCCTCTTCTAAGAACCTTGTTTGCTTTTTATTTTTCAGATCTCAGAGAATCTGCAAAGCAATAGGACGAAGAATAACAAATCAGTCAACAATATTGCTTTGTAAACAAAACTCAGTACAGTTGCCCTCCTAGAAGATGTTATTTAATTTGGGGTGGGGGAGTCTCCCTCAGCTGGATGCAACTCACAGTTCCTAGAATTTGAGTCAAAGACCAACTCCATTCCTCCCCCTCGCCCCAGCTGCTTTTCCATCCAAATGATGTCTTCCATTCTCTCTACCCCACCAACATCTAGCTCTTGCTTAGAGCTGTCCAAATGACACTCAAGATCATCTAATTAAAATGTTTTTAAAATACAGTGCGTTCTGGCTTTCCATGGCCAGAGAAAAGAAGTGTCCCTTGAGAGGCTTCTGGGCACCACTTCAAAGTCATATCACCGTATTTCTTAGGAAATTCTTACAGATGATGAGTATAAAACATCTACTCTATGTACTGTACTCCACAGTACTGAGACAAGAGTGCAGGGCTCCTTCCTTACCCGCTCCAGGAGGAGATTCTTCTCTAGTTTTTCAATGACCCGAAGGTAACTGCTAAGTGGTTTTCTATTCCAGGCTTTCCTCTCACCTCGAAGACACACCGTGAGTCTGGTCACGGCCACCACCCAGCTTCATCACCCCTAGCTCCTCCAGAACTAAGTTTCCCAAAGCTCCAATCTGCCCTGACTCAGGGCAGTTACACTTACTCAGGGCAGTTACACATCCATAATCCTCACCTCCTCTTCCTTTCTTTTACTGGTTATTTAGTATCGGGTGGGCCAAAAAGGTAGTTCGGGTTTTTCCATGCCGGCTTACGGGAAAATCCATATGACTTTTTGAAAGTGAAAGTCGCTCAGTCATGTCTGACTCTTTGCGACCCCATGGGCTGTACAATACGACCTTGTAGGCTAACTCAATACTTAGACCTTAACCCTTAGTATTTAGAGAATAGCTCATTATCTTCCTGATGTGACTGTTGCTCTTGGACTCTACAATTTTATAGCTAGGGGGTGTATCTCCCTTATCTTGATGTCCCCCTGCTTCTCAGGGTCTTTCAAAGAGTCAGTCTCTAATTAATGATTGGGGAATAACAGAGCCAGTGAACAGGGAATCTTGTTTATTTAGATTTAATACTGCATATATTCTTGAATAAGCAAAGCATATCCAGGTACATATCTTTTAATTTTACAGAAGAACACAAGAAAAGGGATAACAGAAGACAAAAATTAACTATTTTTCACTTTTCTCTTGTATTTATTTCCACATTTTCAAGGAAAGTAATTTTCCAATGCTATGTTTTCTTATTCCAGATCACAAAATATAATGAAAGGTTTCCCAATTTGTTTCACAAAATAGCAAAATGCAGAAAATCTTAAAAGCAGCAAGAGAAAAACAATTTGGTACATTTGAAGGAGACCCCATAAGAGCATCAGCAGACTTTTCAGCCAAAATTTTGCAGCCAAGAAGAGAGGGGCACGATATATTCAAAGGGCTAAAAGAAAAAACTTCCAACCAACAATATGCTCGTTACCCTACAAAGTTATCATTCAGAAAAAGATAAAAAATGCTCCAAACAAGCAAAACCTAAAGGAGTTTACCATCACTTATACAGGTTTATGACAATAACTGTAGCTACAAAATAGGTAAAAAGTTTACTTCTTAAACCGGATAAACAGCAATACATTTCTGATGAATGTCATTTGTAAACTTAGAACTTGAAGTTAATTAAGCCTTTTGTTAATAGGAACAGCATTTGAAAAGTACCAAAAAGAAAAAAAAATCCCCAAATCACCCGTACACAGCAGGAACACAAAGATATAATATATTCAATACTCCCAAGCCCCATCTTGCCTCTCCACTACTTAGGTAAGTGACTGTTCTCATCAAACAGAATGAAACATTTGCCTCCACTTCAGTTGGGGTAAGAGGAGCTGTTGGATGTGGCCCTGGAATAGGCCCTGGTCCTGGCACAAGTCCCAGCCCTGGCCCTGGCCCTGGTCTTGGCCCTGGTTACAACTCTGGTTTGGGGTCCCATTTCTTCACTTTGCAAAGCATCTTCATACAAGCCAGGAAAAGCATTGGGGGTAGTACCATGGACTCTGGCCAAAAACTCTAAGACTTTCATCTTAGTGGTCTCCGCATACGTCCGGGGACCCCATAGGAACTCATAGCGGGCAGGATCACTATTGGGCACCTGCCGGTGTTCCAGGTACCCTGCTTGCACCCACACTTGGGTCAGCAGCTCCCTGGGGTCCCCATAGATGAAATGGTTCATACCAGCATACACCCCCATGATACCCAGCATTTCCCAGACCGTTTCCTCAGGAGCACAGTTGCCATCTATGAAGATTATACTCAAGGTATTTACAAGGAGGCCAGCCATGGGCATGCTCTCCTCATCACCACCCAACAAATCATTGTAGGTGAGACCCAAGGTATTGACCAAGACATAGCAAAGACCTGTGGAGTCCAACGCCTTCACATCAATACCAAAGACCAGCTCCATGCACTCAGCAGCTTGGCTGAGGATCACAGAGAAAAGGTCTTGGTAATCTCTGAGAACACTAAGCATATCTGCCTTTGTGGCTACCTCCTTTCTGTGATATCTGAGGAGCAGGAATGACACCAGATCCCCCACCTTATCATCTATAGCATCTCTGAGCAAGTGCCCACCGTCTGGCAGGGCCCGCGGAGTGCTTGGCCTCTTTCTTTTTCTACTGCCAGAGCCCTGATCTGATATGATTGGTGGAGTGGTTGCTAGGGCACTGGGCAAGGTCCAAACTCTCTGAGAACCCTGGAAAGGACTTGGTGTCCCAGCAATACCAGGAACCTCAATTATGGTGCCTGGGGTCAGAAAAGAGAAGGAGGAGGTGGGGTGGGGAGAGGAGGAAGAGGAGGAGGAGGAAGAGGAAGAGGAGGAGGAGGAGGAAGAGGAGGAGGAGGAAGAGGAGGAGGAAGAGGAGGAGGAGGAGGAGGAAGAGGAGGAGGAGGAAGAGGAGGAGGAAGAGGAGGAGGAGGAGGAGGAAGAGGAGGAAGAGGAGGAAGAGGAGGAAGAGGAGGAAGAGGAGGAAGAGGAGGATGAGCTATGTTCCCTCTCCTCCTCACACTCAGGAACTTGTGCACTCCAAAGTCCCCATTTACTGCTCTGGGACTGAACGTTTTCCGTAAGTATGCAGCGCCAACACTTCATGTAACACAAACGCTTTGGAGGTGGAGGCATAATGATTCCTGGTAGCAAGAGTACGGACAGACAGTGCAGAACTGGATCCACAGGCCTGGGGGAGAGAGGGAATGTGAGCGGCCTCGACTGAGAAATCCACCCTGGGCGGTCTGACTCAGGCCACTGACAGGTCTCCTCTCAAGGGGTGCTCTCGGGCCTCACAAAGGAGCTCCTCCTCAGTGGCCTGACCCCTGGCTACCCGAACGAGGACGTGAGGTGGCTCCCCAGGGTGCAGACAGCACAGCCCAAGGTTCCGGGGATGAAGGGGGAAGGGATTTGGGTCTTGTGGGGTCCTGTCTGTTCTGGGGTGGGGAGTCCGTGCCTGGTGCACACTCAGGGCAGGCACCTCACCTCACCTTTACTCCTTGTGCTGCCTGGACCTCCTCTGCTCTGTGACCTGAGATCTGTGACCTGAGCCTCAGACCTGGGCTTTCACTTCCTGGTTCCTGGAGCCCCTGTGAGAGGAAACAAGGGGGCACCTCGGCTGTAAACTGTGGCACGGTGCTGGGCCCCTTGGTGCTGGTAGGAGGGTGGACTCTGTGAGGTTCTCACTCTTCTGGGATGGGTGGTCCCATTTGTGCTCACTCAGGGCTCTCACCTTTGCCCTGGCAGGATGTGGGCTCTCCTCACTGCAGGCCTGAGACAAAACTCTCAAAATAGGATACCTAGAGTGAACAGAAGGAAGTTATGGGGCTTCACATCTAACTATGCCTGCCCAGGGCCTCCCCAGGGGTAAGAGGAAGGGGTGGCTGAATACTGTGGGGCCCATCTGTCCTAGGATTGGAGGGGAGGTCTGCTCAGTCCTCACCTTAATGCCTGGCAGAGCTTCCTTCTTCTTCTTCCTTCCTTCCTTCTTTCTTCTTCCTTCTCAGTCCACCTTTCTTAAGTGAAGTGTCTCACCTTTATGTGAAAACAAAGACAGAAATGAGAGGGTACCACATGCAGTCAAACTGCTTCAGGTCCTCCTGTGGCCAACAGAAAGGGCAGGGATAGGTGGGATTTAGTACATTTTCACATGAGTTCAGCCAGTCCTCTCTCAAAATCCTCACCATTACTCTTAACAAAGCCTGAGCCTCCTAGCTCTGTGCAGTTGAGTACAATGCCATATGCTGATACCTCACCTTAGGTGACCAAGCAGGAAGTCAAGAAACAGCACATTTGCAACCCCTTCCCCATCCCATCTGGGGCCTTTTGGGGTTGACAGTAGGGGCATGTTTTTGTGAGATTCCCTCTTTTCTGGGGTTCAGGGTTCCCAGTCTCTCTCAGACCCCAATGCAGAAGTTAAGTATAGGCCTAATGTGCTCATCCAGCCCCTGGGGCTTCCAGGGCTGTCAGCAGGGCTGGAAATCTGTGCAGTCCCCATCTGTAGTGGGGTCCAAGTTCCCCTCAGTCTTCCCTCAGGGGTTTGACTCCTTCCCTTGACTCCTGTTAGGACTTAGGGTTCTCCCCTCTCCCCACTGAGGCCTCGCCCCTTTCACCAGGTTCCCAGTCTCTCTGACACTCGGATGTCAGGAAATGATACCTGTTTTCATCCCGCCCCACGGCTTCCCAGAGCCCAATCTGGTCTGGAGTCCAAGTTCCCCTTAGTCCTCCCTCAGAGTTCCCACCTTGACTCCCCACAGGACCTCGGATTTTTATTTCTGCCCACCTAAGCCCCCCGCCCTTTATCTCAGGTCCCCAGTGTTTCTGAGACCTGGATGTCAGAAAATGCTGCCTGTGCACATCCCACACCAGGGCCTCTCAGAAGCTTCTCTGTTCTCACAGGGTCCCCGAAGTCCTCCCTTAGGATCCTCACCTTAGTCCACGAAGGATCTACAATTCCGCCTCCGCCCTCCCGTGGCCGCGAACGTTTTCACAGGTCACCCCTGCTCTCCAAGACCTGGATGAGGAAGTCAGCACAGGCTGTCACGTGCTCATCTCGCCCCGCGGCTCACCACAGCTGAGGACAGGGGTGGGTCTCTCTGAGACCCGGATGAGGAAGTCGGCACAGGCTGCCACGGGGTCATGGCGCTCTGCGCGACTTACCACAGCTACGGGCAGGGGCAGGTTTCTCTGGTACACTTCACCCTCCATCCGTGTTCTCGAGTCCAAGGTCCCCTCAATCCTCCCTCAGGAGCCTCACCTTGACTCCTGTTAGGGTTCTCCCCTCTCTCCAACCGAGGACCCGCTACTTAAGATAGATTCCTGGTCCCTCCCGGACCGGATGGCAGGAAATGCTGCCTGTGTGTACATCCCACATCAGAGCCTCTCAGAGCCTTCTCTGTTCCTATAGGGCCCCCGAAGTCCTCCCTCAGGATCCTCACCTTAGTCCACGAAGGAGCTGGGATTCCGCCTCTGCCCACCCGAAGCCGCGACCGTTAGCACACGTCACCCCCAGCTCTCCGAGACCCGGATGAGGAAGTCAGCACAGGCTGTCACGTGCTCATCTCGCCCCGCGGCTCACCACAGCTGAGGACAGGGGTGGGTCTCTCTGAGACCCGGATGAGGAAGTCGGCACAGGCTGCCACGGGGTCATGGCGCTCCGCGCGACTTACCACAGCTATGGGCAGGGACAGTTTTCTCTGGTACACTTCACCCTCCATCTGTGTTCTAGGGTCCAAGATCCCCTCAGTCCTCCCTCGGGGGCCTCACCTTGACTCCTGTTAGGATTCTCCCCTCTCTCCAACCGAGGACCCGCTACTTAAGCTAGATTCCTGGTCCCTCCCGGACCGGATGGCAGGAAATGCTGCCTGTGTGTACATCCCACATCAGAGCCTCTCAGAGCCTTCTCTGTTCCCACAGGGCCCCCGAAGTCCTCCCTCAGGATCCTCACCTTAGTCCACGAAGGAGCTGGGATTCCGCCTCTGCCCACCCGAAGCCGCGACCGTTAGCACACGTCACCCCCAGCTCTCCGAGACCGGATGAGGAAGTCAGCACAGGCTGTCACGTGCTCATCTCGCCCCGCGGCTCACCACAGCTGAGGACAGGGGTGGGTCTCTCTGAGACCCGGATGAGGAAGTCGGCACAGGCTGCTACGGGGTCATGGCGCTCCGCGCGACTTACCACAGCTACGGGCAGGGGCAGGTTTCTCTGGTACACTTCACCCTCCATCCGTGTTCTCGAGTCCAAGGTCCCCTCAGTCCACCCTCAGGAGCCTCACCTTGACTCCTGTTAGGGTTCTCCCCTCTCTCCAACCGAGGACCCGCTACTTAAGCTAGATTCCTGGTCCCTCCCAGACCGGATGGCAGGAAATGCTGCCTGTGTGTACATCCCACATCAGAGCCTCTCAGAGCCTTCTCTGTTCCCATAGGGCCCCCGAAATCCTCCCTCAGGATCCTCACCTTAGTCCACGAAGGAGCTGGGATTCCGCCTCTGCCCACCCGAAGCCGCGACCGTTAGCACACGTCACCCCCAGCTCTCCGAGACCCGGATGAGGAAGTCAGCACAGGCTGTCACGTGCTCATCTCGCCCCGCGGCTCACCACAGCTGAGGACAGGGGTGGGTCTCTCTGAGACCCGGATGAGGAAGTCGGCACAGGCTGCCACGGGGTCATGGCGCTCCGCACGACTTACCACAGCTACGGGCAGGGGCAGGTTTCTCTGGTACACTTCACCCTCCATCTGTGTTCTAGGGTCCAAGATCCCCTCAGTCCTCCCTCGGGGGCCTCACCTTGACTCCTGTTAGGATTCTCCCCTCTCTCCAACCGAGGACCCGCTACTTAAGCTAGATTCCTGGTCCCTCCCGGACCGGATGGCAGGAAATGCTGCCTGTGTGTACATCCCACATCAGAGCCTCTCAGAGCCTTCTCTGTTCCCATAGGGCCCCCGAAGTCCTCCCTCAGGATCCTCACCTTAGTCCACGAAGGAGCTGGGATTCCGCCTCTGCCCACCCGAAGCCGCGACCATTAGCACACGTCACCCCCAGCTCTCCGAAACCCGGATGAGGAAGTCAGCACAGGCTGTCACGTGCTCATCTCGCCCCGCGGCTCACCACAGCTGAGGACAGGGGTGGGTCTCTCTGAGACCCGGATGAGGAGGTCGGCACAGGCTGCCACGGGGTCATGGCGCTCCGCGCGACTTACCACAGCTACGGGCAGGGGCAGGTTTCTCTGGTACACTTCACCCTCCATCCGTGTTCTCGAGTCCAAGGTCCCCTCAATCCTCCCTCAGGAGCCTCACCTTGACTCCTGTTAGGGTTCTCCCCTCTCTCCAACCGAGGACCCGCTACTTAAGCTAGATTCCTGGTCCCTCCCGGACCGGATGGCAGGAAATGCTGCCTGTGTGTACATCTCACATCAGAGCCTCTCAGAGCCTTCTCTGTTCCCATAGGGCCCCCGAAGTCCTCCCTCAGGATCCTCACCTTAGTCCACGAAGGAGCTGGGATTCCGCCTCTGCCCACCCGAAGCCGCGACCGTTAGCACAGGTCACCCCCAGCTCTCCGAGACCGCATGAGGAAGTCAGCACAGGCTGTCACGTGCTCATCTCGCCCCGCGGCTCACCACAGCTGAGGACAGGGGTGGGTCTCTCTGAGACCCGGATGAGGAAGTCGGCACAGGCTGCCACGGGGTCATGGCGCTCCGCACGACTTACCACAGCTATGGGCAGGGACAGTTTTCTCTGGTACACTTCACCCTCCATCTGTGTTCTAGGGTCCAAGATCCCCTCAGTCCTCCCTCGGGGGCCTCACCTTGACTCCTGTTAGGATTCTCCCCTCTCTCCAACCGAGGACCCGCTACTTAAGCTAGATTCCTGGTCCCTCCCGGACCGGATGGCAGGAAATGCTGCCTGTGTGTACATCCCACATCAGAGCCTCTCAGAGCCTTCTCTGTTCCCACAGGGCCCCCGAAGTCCTCCCTCAGGATCCTCACCTTAGTCCACGAAGGAGCTGGGATTCCGCCTCTGCCCACCCGAAGCCGCGACCGTTAGCACACGTCACCCCCAGCTCTCCGAGACCCGGATGAGGAAGTCACCACAGGCTGTCACGTGCTCATCTCGCCCCGCGGCTCACCACAGCTGAGGACAGGGGTGGGTCTCTCTGAGACCCGGATGAGGAAGTCGGCACAGGCTGCCACGGGGTCATGGCGCTCCGCGCGACTTACCACAGCTACGGGCAGGGGCAGGTTTCTCTGGTACACTTCACCCTCCATCCGTGTTCTCGAGTCCAAGGTCCCCTCAGTCCTCCCTCAGGAGCCTCACCTTGACTCCTCTTAGGGTTCTCCCCTCTCTCCAACCGAGGACCCGCTACTTAAGCTAGATTACTGGTCCCTCCCAGACCGGATGGCAGGAAATGCTGCCTGTGTGTACATCCCACATCAGAGCCTCTCAGAGCCTTCTCTGTTCCCATAGGGCCCCCGAAGTCCTCCCTCAGGATCCTCACCTTAGTCCACGAAGGAGCTGGGATTCCGCCTCTGCCCACCCGAAGCGGCGACCGTTAGCACAGGTCACCCCCAGCTCTCCGAGACCGCATGAGGAAGTCAGCACAGGCTGTCACGTGCTCATCTCACCCCGCGGCTCACCACAGCTGAGGACAGGGGTGGGTCTCTCTGAGACCCGGATGAGGAAGTCGGCACAGGCTGCCACGGGGTCATGGCGCTCCGCACGACTTACCACAGCTATGGGCAGGGACAGTTTTCTCTGGTACACTTCACCCTCCATCTGTGTTCTAGGGTCCAAGATCCCCTCAGTCCTCCCTCGGGGGCCTCACCTTGACTCCTGTTAGGATTCTCCCCTCTCTCCAACCGAGGACCCGCTACTTAAGCTAGATTCCTGGTCCCTCCCGGACCGGATGGCAGGAAATGCTGCCTGTGTGTACATCCCACATCAGAGCCTCTCAGAGCCTTCTCTGTTCCCACAGGGCCCCCGAAGTCCTCCCTCAGGATCCTCACCTTAGTCCACGAAGGAGCTGGGATTCCGCCTCTGCCCACCCAAAGCCGCGACCGTTAGCACACGTCACCCCCAGCTCTCCGAGACCCGGATGAGGAAGTCAGCACAGGCTGTCACGTGCTCATCTCGCCCCGCGGCTCACCACAGCTGAGGACAGGGGTGGGTCTCTCTGAGACCCGGATGAGGAGGTCGGCACAGGCTGCCACGGGGTCATGGCGCTCCGCACGACTTACCACAGCTACGGGCAGGAGCAGGTTTCTCTGGTACACTTCACCCTCCATCCGTGTTCTCGAGTCCAAGGTCCCCTCAATCCTCCCTCAGGAGCCTCACCTTGACTCCTGTTAGGGTTCTCCCCTCTCTCCAACCGAGGACCCACTACTTAAGCTAGATTCCTGGTCCCTCCCGGACCGGATGGCAGGAAATGCTGCCTGTGTGTACATCCCACATCAGAGCCTCTCAGAGCCTTCTCTGTTCCCACAGGGCCCCCGAAGTCCTCCCTCAGGATCCTCACCTTAGTCCACGAAGGAGCTGGGATTCCGCCTCTGCCCACCCAAAGCCGCGACCGTTAGCACACGTCACCCCCAGCTCTCCGAGACCCGGATGAGGAAGTCAGCACAGGCTGTCACGTGCTCATCTCGCCCCGCGGCTCACCACAGCTGAGGACAGGGGTGGGTCTCTCTGAGACCCGGATGAGGAAGTCGGCACAGGCTGCCACGGGGTCATGGCGCTCCGCACGACTTACCACAGCTACGGGCAGGGGCAGGTTTCTCTGGTACACTTCACCCTCCATCTGTGTTCTAGGGTCCAAGATCCCCTCAGTCCTCCCTCGGGGGCCTCACCTTGACTCCTGTTAGGATTCTCCCCTCTCTCCAACCGAGGACCCGCTACTTAAGCTAGATTCCTGGTCCCTCCCGGACCGGATGGCAGGAAATGCTGCCTGTGTGTACATCCCACATCAGAGCCTCTCAGAGCCTTCTCTGTTCCCACAGGGCCCCCGAAGTCCTCCCTCAGGATCCTCACCTTAGTCCACGAAGGAGCTGGGATTCCGCCTCTGCCCACCCGAAGCCGCGACCGTTAGCACACGTCACCCCCAGCTCTCCGAGACCCGGATGAGGAAGTCAGCACAGGCTGTCACGTGCTCATCTCGCCCCGCGGCTCACCACAGCTGAGGACAGGGGTGGGTCTCTCTGAGACCCGGATGAGGAAGTCGGCACAGGCTGCCACGGGGTCATGGCGCTCCGCACGACTTACCACAGCTATGGGCAGGGACAGTTTTCTCTGGTACACTTCACCCTCCATCTGTGTTCTAGGGTCCAAGATCCCCTCAGTCCTCCCTCGGGGGCCTCACCTTGACTCCTGTTAGGATTCTCCCCTCTCTCCAACCGAGGACCCGCTACTTAAGCTAGATTCCTGGTCCCTCCCGGACCGGATGGCAGGAAATGCTGCCTGTGTGTACATCTCACATCAGAGCCTCTCAGAGCCTTCTCTGTTCCCACAGGGCCCCCGAAGTCCTCCCTCAGGATCCTCACCTTAGTCCACGAAGGAGCTGGGATTCCGCCTCTGCCCACCCGAAGCCGCGACCGTTAGCACACGTCACCCCCAGCTCTCCGAGACCCGGATGAGGAAGTCAGCACAGGCTGTCACGTGCTCATCTCGCCCCGCGGCTCACCACAGCTGAGGACAGGGGTGGGTCTCTCTGAGACCCGGATGAGGAAGTCGGCACAGGCTGCCACGGGGTCATGGCGCTCCGCACGACTTACCACAGCTACGGGCAGGAGCAGGTTTCTCTGGTACACTTCACCCTCCATCCGTGTTCTCGAGTCCAAGGTCCCCTCAATCCTCCCTCAGGAGCCTCACCTTGACTCCTGTTAGGGTTCTCCCCTCTCTCCAACCGAGGACCCACTACTTAAGCTAGATTCCTGGTCCCTCCCGGACCGGATGGCAGGAAATGCTGCCTGTGTGTACATCCCACATCAGAGCCTCTCAGAGCCTTCTCTGTTCCCACAGGGCCCCCGAAGTCCTCCCTCAGGATCCTCACCTTAGTCCACGAAGGAGCTGGGATTCCGCCTCTGCCCACCCAAAGCCGCGACCGTTAGCACACGTCACCCCCAGCTCTCCGAGACCCGGATGAGGAAGTCAGCACAGGCTGTCACGTGCTCATCTCGCCCCGCGGCTCACCACAGCTGAGGACAGGGGTGGGTCTCTCTGAGACCCGGATGAGGAAGTCGGCACAGGCTGCCACGGGGTCATGGCGCTCCGCACGACTTACCACAGCTACGGGCAGGGGCAGGTTTCTCTGGTACACTTCACCCTCCATCTGTGTTCTAGGGTCCAAGATCCCCTCAGTCCTCCCTCGGGGGCCTCACCTTGACTCCTGTTAGGATTCTCCCCTCTCTCCAACCGAGGACCCGCTACTTAAGCTAGATTCCTGGTCCCTCCCGGACCGGATGGCAGGAAATGCTGCCTGTGTGTACATCCCACATCAGAGCCTCTCAGAGCCTTCTCTGTTCCCACAGGGCCCCCGAAGTCCTCCCTCAGGATCCTCACCTTAGTCCACGAAGGAGCTGGGATTCCGCCTCTGCCCACCCGAAGCCGCGACCGTTAGCACACGTCACCCCCAGCTCTCCGAGACCCGGATGAGGAAGTCAGCACAGGCTGTCACGTGCTCATCTCGCCCCGCGGCTCACCACAGCTGAGGACAGGGGTGGGTCTCTCTGAGACCCGGATGAGGAAGTCGGCACAGGCTGCCACGGGGTCATGGCGCTCCGCACGACTTACCACAGCTATGGGCAGGGACAGTTTTCTCTGGTACACTTCACCCTCCATCTGTGTTCTAGGGTCCAAGATCCCCTCAGTCCTCCCTCGGGGGCCTCACCTTGACTCCTGTTAGGATTCTCCCCTCTCTCCAACCGAGGACCCGCTACTTAAGCTAGATTCCTGGTCCCTCCCGGACCGGATGGCAGGAAATGCTGCCTGTGTGTACATCCCACATCAGAGCCTCTCAGAGCCTTCTCTGTTCCCACAGGGCCCCCGAAGTCCTCCCTCAGGATCCTCACCTTAGTCCACGAAGGAGCTGGGATTCCGCCTCTGCCCACCCGAAGCCGCGACCGTTAGCACACGTCACCCCCAGCTCTCCGAGACCCGGATGAGGAAGTCAGCACAGGCTGTCACGTGCTCATCTCGCCCCGCGGCTCACCACAGCTGAGGACAGGGGTGGGTCTCTCTGAGACCCGGATGAGGAAGTCGGCACAGGCTGCCACGGGGTCATGGCGCTCCGCACGACTTACCACAGCTACGGGCAGGGGCAGGTTTCTCTGGTACACTTCACCCTCCATCCGTGTTCTCGAGTCCAAGGTCCCCTCAATCCTCCCTCAGGAGCCTCACCTTGACTCCTGTTAGGGTTCTCCCCTCTCTCCAACCGAGGACCCGCTACTTAAGCTAGATTCCTGGTCCCTCCCGGACCGGATGGCAGGAAATGCTGCCTGTGTGTACATCCCACATCAGAGCCTCTCAGAGCCTTCTCTGTTCCCACAGGGCCCCCGAAGTCCTCCCTCAGGATCCTCACCTTAGTCCACGAAGGAGCTGGGATTCCGCCTCTGCCCACCCGAAGCCGCGACCGTTAGCACACGTCACCCCCAGCTCTCCGAGACCCGGATGAGGAAGTCAGCACAGGCTGTCACGTGCTCATCTCGCCCCGCGGCTCACCACAGCTGAGGACAGGGGTGGGTCTCTCTGAGACCCGGATCAGGAAGTCGGCACAGGCTGCCACGGGGTCATGGCGCTCCGCGCGACTTACCACAGCTACGGGCAGGGGCAGGTTTCTCTGGTACACTTCACCCTCCATCCGTGTTCTCGAGTCCAAGGTCCCCTCAGTCCTCCCTCAGGAGCCTCACCTTGACTCCTGTTAGGGTTCTCCCCTCTCTCCAACCGAGGACCCGCTACTTAAGCTAGATTCCTGGTCCCTCCCAGACCGGATGGCAGGAAATGCTGCCTGTGTGTACATCCCACATCAGAGCCTCTCAGAGCCTTCTCTGTTCCCATAGGGCCCCCGAAGTCCTCCCTCAGGATCCTCACCTTAGTCCACGAAGGAGCTGGGATTCCGCCTCTGCCCACCCGAAGCCGCGACCGTTAGCACAGGTCACCCCCAGCTCTCCGAGACCGCATGAGGAAGTCAGCACAGGCTGTCACGTGCTCATCTCACCCCACGGCTCACCACAGCTGAGGACAGGGGTGGGTCTCTCTGAGACCCGGATGAGGAAGTCGGCACAGGCTGCCACGGGGTCATGGCGCTCCGCACGACTTACCACAGCTATGGGCAGGGACAGTTTTCTCTGGTACACTTCACCCTCCATCTGTGTTCTAGGGTCCAAGATCCCCTCAGTCCTCCCTCGGGGGCCTCACCTTGACTCCTGTTAGGATTCTCCCCTCTCTCCAACCGAGGACCCGCTACTTAAGCTAGATTCCTGGTCCCTCCCGGACCGGATGGCAGGAAATGCTGCCTGTGTGTACATCCCACATCAGAGCCTCTCAGAGCCTTCTCTGTTCCCACAGGGCCCCCGAAGTCCTCCCTCAGGATCCTCACCTTAGTCCACGAAGGAGCTGGGATTCCGCCTCTGCCCACCCGAAGCCGCGACCGTTAGCACACGTCACCCCCAGCTCTCCGAGACCCGGATGAGGAAGTCAGCACAGGCTGTCACGTGCTCATCTCGCCCCGCGGCTCACCACAGCTGAGGACAGGGGTGGGTCTCTCTGAGACCCGGATGAGGAAGTCGGCACAGGCTGCCACGGGGTCATGGCGCTCCGCACGACTTACCACAGCTACGGGCAGGGGCAGGTTTCTCTGGTACACTTCACCCTCCATCCGTGTTCTCGAGTCCAAGGTCCCCTCAATCCTCCCTCAGGAGCCTCACCTTGACTCCTGTTAGGGTTCTCCCCTCTCTCCAACCGAGGACCCACTACTTAAGCTAGATTCCTGGTCCCTCCCGGACCGGATGGCAGGAAATGCTGCCTGTGTGTACATCCCACATCAGAGCCTCTCAGAGCCTTCTCTGTTCCCACAGGGCCCCCGAAGTCCTCCCTCAGGATCCTCACCTTAGTCCACGAAGGAGCTGGGATTCCGCCTCTGCCCACCCGAAGCCGCGACCGTTAGCACACGTCACCCCCAGCTCTCCGAGACCCGGATGAGGAAGTCACCACAGGCTGTCACGTGCTCATCTCGTCCCGCGGCTCACCACAGCTGAGGACAGGGGTGGGTCTCTCTGAGACCCGGATGAGGAAGTCGGCACAGGCTGCCACGGGGTCATGGCGCTCCGCAAGACTTACCACAGCTACGGGCAGGGGCAGGTTTCTCTGGTACACTTCACCCTCCATCTGTGTTCTAGGGTCCAAGATCCCCTCAGTCCTCCCTCGGGGGCCTCACCTTGACTCCTGTTAGGATTCTCCCCTCTCTCCAACCGAGGACCCGCTACTTAATCTAGATTCCTGGTCCCTCCCGGACCGGATGGCAGGAAATGCTGCCTGTGTGTACATCCCACATCAGAGCCTCTCAGAGCCTTCTCTGTTCCCACAGGGCCCCCGAAGTCCTCCCTCAGGATCCTCACCTTAGTCCACGAAGGAGCTGGGATTCCGCCTCTGCCCACCCGAAGCCGCGACCGTTAGCACACGTCACCCCCAGCTCTCCGAGACCCGGATGAGGAAGTCAGCACAGGCTGTCACGTGCTCATCTCGCCCCGCGGCTCACCACAGCTGAGGACAGGGGTGGGTCTCTCTGAGACCCGGATGAGGAAGTCGGCACAGGCTGCCACGGGGTCATGGCGCTCCGCACGACTTACCACAGCTACGGGCAGGGGCAGGTTTCTCTGGTACACTTCACCCTCCATCCGTGTTCTCGAGTCCAAGGTCCCCTCAATCCTCCCTCAGGAGCCTCACCTTGACTCCTGTTAGGGTTCTCCCCTCTCTCCAACCGAGGACCCGCTACTTAAGCTAGATTCCTGGTCCCTCCCGGACCGGATGGCAGGAAATGCTGCCTGTGTGTACATCCCACATCAGAGCCTCTCAGAGCCTTCTCTGTTCCCACAGGGCCCCCGAAGTCCTCCCTCAGGATCCTCACCTTAGTCCACGAAGGAGCTGGGATTCCGCCTCTGCCCACCCGAAGCCGCGACCGTTAGCACACGTCACCCCCAGCTCTCCGAGACCCGGATGAGGAAGTCAGCACAGGCTGTCACGTGCTCATCTCGCCCCGCGGCTCACCACAGCTGAGGACAGGGGTGGGTCTCTCTGAGACCCGGATCAGGAAGTCGGCACAGGCTGCCACGGGGTCATGGCGCTCCGCGCGACTTACCACAGCTACGGGCAGGGGCAGGTTTCTCTGGTACACTTCACCCTCCATCCGTGTTCTCGAGTCCAAGGTCCCCTCAGTCCTCCCTCAGGAGCCTCACCTTGACTCCTGTTAGGGTTCTCCCCTCTCTCCAACCGAGGACCCGCTACTTAAGCTAGATTCCTGGTCCCTCCCAGACCGGATGGCAGGAAATGCTGCCTGTGTGTACATCCCACATCAGAGCCTCTCAGAGCCTTCTCTGTTCCCATAGGGCCCCCGAAGTCCTCCCTCAGGATCCTCACCTTAGTCCACGAAGGAGCTGGGATTCCGCCTCTGCCCACCCGAAGCCGCGACCGTTAGCACAGGTCACCCCCAGCTCTCCGAGACCGCATGAGGAAGTCAGCACAGGCTGTCACGTGCTCATCTCACCCCACGGCTCACCACAGCTGAGGACAGGGGTGGGTCTCTCTGAGACCCGGATGAGGAAGTCGGCACAGGCTGCCACGGGGTCATGGCGCTCCGCACGACTTACCACAGCTATGGGCAGGGACAGTTTTCTCTGGTACACTTCACCCTCCATCTGTGTTCTAGGGTCCAAGATCCCCTCAGTCCTCCCTCGGGGGCCTCACCTTGACTCCTGTTAGGATTCTCCCCTCTCTCCAACCGAGGACCCGCTACTTAAGCTAGATTCCTGGTCCCTCCCGGACCGGATGGCAGGAAATGCTGCCTGTGTGTACATCCCACATCAGAGCCTCTCAGAGCCTTCTCTGTTCCCACAGGGCCCCCGAAGTCCTCCCTCAGGATCCTCACCTTAGTCCACGAAGGAGCTGGGATTCCGCCTCTGCCCACCCGAAGCCGCGACCGTTAGCACACGTCACCCCCAGCTCTCCGAGACCCGGATGAGGAAGTCAGCACAGGCTGTCACGTGCTCATCTCGCCCCGCGGCTCACCACAGCTGAGGACAGGGGTGGGTCTCTCTGAGACCCGGATGAGGAAGTCGGCACAGGCTGCCACGGGGTCATGGCGCTCCGCACGACTTACCACAGCTACGGGCAGGGGCAGGTTTCTCTGGTACACTTCACCCTCCATCCGTGTTCTCGAGTCCAAGGTCCCCTCAATCCTCCCTCAGGAGCCTCACCTTGACTCCTGTTAGGGTTCTCCCCTCTCTCCAACCGAGGACCCACTACTTAAGCTAGATTCCTGGTCCCTCCCGGACCGGATGGCAGGAAATGCTGCCTGTGTGTACATCCCACATCAGAGCCTCTCAGAGCCTTCTCTGTTCCCACAGGGCCCCCGAAGTCCTCCCTCAGGATCCTCACCTTAGTCCACGAAGGAGCTGGGATTCCGCCTCTGCCCACCCGAAGCCGCGACCGTTAGCACACGTCACCCCCAGCTCTCCGAGACCCGGATGAGGAAGTCACCACAGGCTGTCACGTGCTCATCTCGTCCCGCGGCTCACCACAGCTGAGGACAGGGGTGGGTCTCTCTGAGACCCGGATGAGGAAGTCGGCACAGGCTGCCACGGGGTCATGGCGCTCCGCAAGACTTACCACAGCTACGGGCAGGGGCAGGTTTCTCTGGTACACTTCACCCTCCATCTGTGTTCTAGGGTCCAAGATCCCCTCAGTCCTCCCTCGGGGGCCTCACCTTGACTCCTGTTAGGATTCTCCCCTCTCTCCAACCGAGGACCCGCTACTTAATCTAGATTCCTGGTCCCTCCCGGACCGGATGGCAGGAAATGCTGCCTGTGTGTACATCCCACATCAGAGCCTCTCAGAGCCTTCTCTGTTCCCACAGGGCCCCCGAAGTCCTCCCTCAGGATCCTCACCTTAGTCCACGAAGGAGCTGGGATTCCGCCTCTGCCCACCCGAAGCCGCGACCGTTAGCACACGTCACCCCCAGCTCTCCGAGACCCGGATGAGGAAGTCAGCACAGGCTGTCACGTGCTCATCTCGCCCCGCGGCTCACCACAGCTGAGGACAGGGGTGGGTCTCTCTGAGACCCGGATGAGGAAGTCGGCACAGGCTGCCACGGGGTCATGGCGCTCCGCACGACTTACCACAGCTACGGGCAGGGGCAGGTTTCTCTGGTACACTTCACCCTCCATCCGTGTTCTCGAGTCCAAGGTCCCCTCAATCCTCCCTCAGGAGCCTCACCTTGACTCCTGTTAGGGTTCTCCCCTCTCTCCAACCGAGGACCCGCTACTTAAGCTAGATTCCTGGTCCCTCCCGGACCGGATGGCAGGAAATGCTGCCTGTGTGTACATCTCACATCAGAGCCTCTCAGAGCCTTCTCTGTTCTCATAGGGCCCCCGAAGTCCTCCCTCAGGATCCTCACCTTAGTCCACGAAGGAGCTGGGATTCCGCCTCTGCCCACCCGAAGCCGCGACCGTTAGCACAGGTCACCCCCAGCTCTCCGAGACCCGGATGAGGAAGTCAGCACAGGCTGTCACGTGCTCATCTCGCCCCGCGGCTCACCACAGCTGAGGACAGGGGTGGGTCTCTCTGAGACCCGGATGAGGAAGTCGGCACAGGCTGCCACGGGGTCATGGCGCTCCGCGCGACTTACCACAGCTATGGGCAGGGACAGTTTTCTCTGGTACACTTCACACTCCATCTGTGTTCTAGGGTCCAAGATCCCCTCAGTCCTCCCTCGGGGGCCTCACCTTGACTCCTGTTAGGATTCTCCCCTCTCTCCAACCGAGGACCCGCTACTTAAGCTAGATTCCTGGTCCCTCCCGGACCGGATGGCAGGAAATGCTGCCTGTGTGTACATCCCACATCAGAGCCTCTCAGAGCCTTCTCTGTTCCCACAGGGCCCCCGAAGTCCTCCCTCAGGATCCTCACCTTAGTCCACGAAGGAGCTGGGATTCCGCCTCTGCCCACCCGAAGCCACGACCGTTAGCACACGTCACCCCCAGCTCTCCGAGACCCAGATGAGGAAGTCAGCACAGGCTGTCACGTGCTCATCTCGCCCCGCGGCTCACCACAGCTGAGGACAGGGGTGGGTCTCTCTGAGACCCGGATGAGGAAGTCGGCACAGGCTGCCACGGGGTCATGGCGCTCCGCGCGACTTACCACAGCTACGGGCAGGGGCAGGTTTCTCTGGTACACTTCACCCTCCATCCGTGTTCTCGAGTCCAAGGTCCCCTCAATCCTCCCTCAGGAGCCTCACCTTGACTCCTGTTAGGGTTCTCCCCTCTCTCCAACCGAGGACCCGCTACTTAAGCTAGATTCCTGGTCCCTCCCGGACCGGATGGCAGGAAATGCTGCCTGTGTGTACATCCCACATCAGAGCCTCTCAGAGCCTTCTCTGTTCCCATAGGGCCCCCGAAGTCCTCCCTCAGGATCCTCACCTTAGTCCACGAAGGAGCTGGGATTCCGCCTCTGCCCACCCGAAGCCGCGACCGTTAGCACACGTCACCCCCAGCTCTCCGAGACCCGGATGAGGAAGTCAGCACAGGCTGTCACGTGCTCATCTCGCCCCGCGGCTCACCACAGCTGAGGACAGGGGTGGGTCTCTCTGAGACCCGGATGAGGAAGTCGGCACAGGCTGCCACGGGGTCATGGCGCTCCGCACGACTTACCACAGCTACGGGCAGGGGCAGGTTTCTCTGGTACACTTCACCCTCCATCCGTGTTCTCGAGTCCAAGGTCCCCTCAATCCTCCCTCAGGAGCCTCACCTTGACTCCTGTTAGGGTTCTCCCCTCTCTCCAACCGAGGACCCGCTACTTAAGCTAGATTCCTGGTCCCTCCCGGACCGGATGGCAGGAAATGCTGCCTGTGTGTACATCCCACATCAGAGCCTCTCAGAGCCTTCTCTGTTCCCACAGGGCCCCCGAAGTCCTCCCTCAGGATCCTCACCTTAGTCCACGAAGGAGCTGGGATTCCGCCTCTGCCCACCCGAAGCCGCGACCGTTAGCACACGTCACCCCCAGCTCTCCGAGACCCAGATGAGGAAGTCAGCACAGGCTGTCACGTGCTCATCTCGCCCCGCGGATCACCACAGCTGAGGACAGGGGTGGGTCTCTCTGAGACCCGGATGAGGAAGTCG